TTCAGTCACTACTGCACACAAAGAATGAAACTAGGTTAACAATTCTCAAGTTCTGATCCTGATTTCTCTTGAATCTCTACAACTTTGATTATTTCTCTTATGAGCAAAACATTATGGATACTGTTTTGTCAGAGTATTCTATCAGTTGCTTTCTCATTAATGGGACAAATGGGACTTTCTCACTAATGGGACCCAACACTCACATTGTAACTTAAATGAGAAGAACCTGATTTGGGCTCACAGTTTCAGTGAGTTAGGCCAACACAGGCCAGCTGCAAGCCCGAAAGAGCAAGGTGGAAGGAAAGTTGCTCACATCACAGTGGCCAGGAAGCAGAGAGACAAGGGAAGAGCCAGAGACAAAATATTCCCTTCCAGGTCTCGATTCCAGTGACCTGCCTCTTCCAGCCAGGTCCCACCTGCAAACAGCACAGTCAGCTACAAACTCATCGACGGATTAATCCACTAGTGAGTACAGTGCCCCCATATCCAACCACCTTCCAAAGGCCCCAAATCTGAAATGACACTTTTGGATGAGATTTTAGATCCAAACCATAAAAAGTACCAACCTAAAAATGAGTGTGACAAAAGAGAAGAGATGCAGTGAAATTCAGCTACAACTATAGCGATCTCCAAAACCAAGGAGCAAAGCCCCTTATGCACATTAACTCATTTAGCCCTCCCAAGAACCCATTTAACAGAACAGGCAATTGAAGCATATAGAGGTAAATATTTCTTCTTTAATAGTTACTTAGGGTTATTGAGGTTACATAGCCAGTAAGTAGTGAGCCTGAGATCTGAACCAAGGCAGGTTGTATCTAGGTACATCTTTTTAACTACTACGTTGTGCTGTCTCTCTACAGAAACGTCTAGCATATCCTTGTTGTACTTCAAGGGTAAACTTTTAATTTCATTGCAAATCATACAGAGTTCCTATGTATCTGATATAACTTTCCTACTATTAAAATTTTATATTACTATGGTATATGTGCTGTAATTAACAACTCAATAGTAATATATTATTTGAACTTAAGTCCAGATTTCCTTCACTTTTTACCTAATATTCTTTTTCTTTTCTCGAAGTGCATCCAGGATATCACAGTTAATTATCATGTTTTCTGAAGCTCTTCTAGTTTCTAGCAGTGTCTCAGACTTTTCTTGTTCCAAGCACCTTGACAGTTTTCAGGAAAACTGGTGAGAGGTTATGTAACTGTCTCAATATTTATCAGATGTGTTTCTCCCAATCAGATTAAAGTTATGGGTATTTGTGTGTGTGTGTGTGTGTGTGTGTGTGTGTGTGTGCGCACGCGCACACACACACACACACACACGCACATGCACATGTACATGTGGTGCTGAAGAACAAACCCAGGTCATTCATTCTAAGCAAGCACTCTATCACTGAGCTACACTCTTAACCCCAAGATTATGCGTTTTATGGAGGAAAGTCACACAGGTAGAATGCTGTTCCTATCATATCACAGGTAAGGTACTCACTATCAACATGACTTATCATTGTTGACATGAACATTGATTATCTGGCTGAGGCAGTGTCTGACAGGTTTCTCTACAATAAAGTTATCCACCCCGCAATCCTTTCTACATTGTACTCTTCGGAAGGAAACTATTATGCAGGTCCCACATAAGAAGAGAGGAGTTGTGCTCCACATGTTTAAGGGCAGAATATCTATAAAAGTATTTGGAATTCTTTTGCATGAGAGACTTTTCTCTTCTCCTCGATTAATTTATTCATTCAATCTTTCATTTATGTCAGTAAGAACCAGAGACTATTTTTAATGTTTCAGGTATAGCCCAATAATGCTTGATTTCTTTTGTTGCTCAGTGTCCAGCTTTGCAAACCAAAAGCTCTTTCAGGTGGCTCCTGTAGCCTTTTGACACACTCCTTCAATATGTTTTTGTTTTTAGCGCTTCTTTATTTTCTGGTATCACAAGATGCTGCAGATTTACCTTATTTATTACCGATCCAACCCTAGAACCAGCCATTTCTCCAGGCTTTTTTCCTCTCCTGAAAGAATAGTTGGGCAGTGGATGTGCTCCTTGATATGAGGTTGTCCTTGCTTCTAGACCCTCTCAACTGACCAAGCAAGGAAATATGTATGTGCATAATAAATCAATTATATGTATATTTATACCTGTAAATGTTTCTATAGGTATCCATGTGTATCTAAATTAAATGAGCATTCACAGTAATATTGCTACCTTTAATCCACTATGACAGGGACACCCTAGCCTCCCATTCTTGCCTGACTATAGCCTTCTACTCTGTGTCGGTTTAGGGCTTATTTTGCAAGGGGAACAGTATAATACAGGACACATACTTTATGTGATTATTTACAAGTCACCCAAAGAACAGTATACAAAAGAGTACAGGGAATCTGTCCACACACTAAGACCAAGGAATCCAGCTGAGGGCCTGGATCCCACAACAATGTCCTACATGAGTTGAGCTGAATACCCAGAGCTCATAACAA